GTATCTGATTCTTTTGTTTTACAGTTTTAAGCTCAGACGGCTAATTGGCCTGTGAAGAGTACGTAGCGACCGTCTTGCTTCTGTAAGTTTAGTTAGCCTGATAAAAATCTTCTGGGGCTTTTGACAGAGTAGTCTTACACACCTGTTTGAACTGTTGGCTCATACTAYAATTAACACAGATTCTTAGCCCTTTGAGCAGAAGAGAGCTCTACGAGTTAAACTCTCCTATTTCTTGGTCCCCGCAGTCTGCGCCTGGGTTGTTGGATGTTGCTGCTGCTTTATAAACGCGCAGCAKCTGTTCCTCCTGGTCTGTATCACAAGAGGGCGCTCACCTAAAGCGATAAGAGCAGGATTGTACGTTTATTCSCTGTTTTCGCTTCTGTTTTTCCACCCCAGTGTTTCGACGTGGTGCTCAAATACATATAAGCAGGTGACAAAGTCTGSTCTGTTCGTTAGAAGGATAGGGACAAAAGCTTTAGGAAAATGATCCATCTTATTTACGTGATGTAATTCTTAGTACTTTTAGTCCAGTGGCTAATTAAAGAGTATTAGCTACTTGGAGCTGAAATTAATAGTTCGTTAATAACTATGAYGGTGATGTGTATTTTATTTAATTATGAGCTCTTGCGGTATTTGAACTCTGCACTACTGAAGAGTGAGGCAATGTAAAGGTTTTGTTAGATCAAAATCTGTGAGCAAATTACATGATTCTCATTGAAGCAGAAGACACAAACTACCAGTTAGCTGCATTTATAAATACATTAACATGTGTAGATGAATGCATAAACCAGAAGAAGTAGGGTTTTTTACTGTTTTTACTGGGAGGCTGGTGAAGCACTGGAAGAGGCTGCCCACAGAAGTTGTGAATACTCCATCCCCGTGTTTAAGTCCAAGTTGAATGRAGGTCTGAGCGACCTGGTTTCGTGGAAGGTGTCCCTGTCCACAGCAGAGGGGTTGGAAATAGATGATCTTTGAGGTCCCTTCTAACCCAGGCTTTTCTATGAAATAACTAATGAGTTATTTCTTGTTTATTTTTTTCAAAAGAATGAACTCTAAATCTTTTCATGAATCAACTGTTCAATGGAACATTATTGAAACAGCCACAACTCACCTGTAGCTAAAGGGAGGTGCAGTAGTAKACTTAATGGTCTGCTGGGAAAAATGTCAGACTTCTCCCATTTTAGTCTGTTCTTTTTGTTTGTTTCACATAGAAATTAACATCCATATAATYTTCTGTACAGAAAATTACATCCGGTTGCTGTAACCTTCATAAATATGATTACTAGGCATAAATTGGCTATTCATCTGGAGTCACAGTTGACTAAGTTAACTTTTAATAGAAAGTAATGGAAACAGAAATGCAAGTGTGAACAGAATTTATCAAATGTTACAGATATTAGTAGTTACATAAGTAAATGACACTCGGCTTAATTCCAAAGTCCACTCGCTGACAAATAACCTGAGACAAAACAAACACAATCCAGCATTTCAGTAAGGTTTTGTCAATAACCTAGAAAAGTGATTTCTTTAACTGTAATCCAGATTATGCACATGTTAAGTCTTTATACCGTGCATAACAATGAGAATAATGAATAATAAATCTATAAAATTACTATTCTTAACTGAGAACTGATTTGCTCCCAGTATAACCCAGAATCCCACTTCTAGGCCAGTGTGTAATGCATGTATCTTTCTTCCACATTTCACCAGCACCTGAGGAAAACACCTCTTCTATAGAGAAGTGTGGGAGAATGCATCCAGGGTGAAATCTGATGCAGTATATTGAGGTTAGAGTTGTATTCTCTTTCTTCCAGTTAACAACGCATGGATGCTTGGGAGRACATAGAAATAGTGGCAATATATTCATACTGTTTTCACTTATATTGTTTTCATGCTTCGTTTTGGAAGTTACCCTGATGGCAATAGGACCATGTTGTGTGAAGTTTGGGGAGGGAGAGCAGCTGGCTCTGGGAACTGGTGGCCAGGAAGCAAGCCTGTTCCAGGTATAGAACCAAGGCGAGTGTCAGGGATGTTTTTGTTGAACGTSCAGCACTGGAAGCTGGTGTCCGAGCTCCGTGACCGATCGCTGGTCCGGAGAAGCCTTTGGAGCCGGTGCCCGGCAGAGGCGCGGCCCCTTTAAGGCAGGTGGCGGGGCGGGCGCGGAGCCACGCGCAGGCGCGGGGCGGGGGAGCCGGAGCGGCGGGAGCGCCCCGACATCGCCCGGCCGCGCCACCGCCACCGCCACCGCCCGCCGCGCTCGGTCCCGGCCCCGGCCCCGGCCCCGGCCGCCCATGGCGGAGCCGGGCGCGGAGGAGCCTGACGAGCGGCTGCTGGTCCTCGCGGAGCCACCGCCGTCGCCACCTCCTCAGGCAGAGCCTCCCTGGCGGGGGCCGCAGACTGTGAGAGCCGCCCCCGGCGGGGCCGTCCGGCAATGCGGGGAACCGGGGCTCGAGGAGGTGGAGGACTCGGAGGACTCGGGGACCGAGGAGGATGGAGAGGACGAGCCTCTCCTGCGGGTGTCGGGTAGCGGCCGCGGGCGGCGTTGGGGCGCCGCCTGGGACAAGGAGTGCCGCGCCGCCGCAGGTACGGCCCGSCGGGACGTGCGGGGGGAGCGGCCGGGGCGGCAGCGCGGGTCGGGCTGCGCTGCTCTGCTTGGAGAGGGCGGCCCGCGTGTCTGGGGGCACAGGCAGCCCCTGTCTGGCTCTGTCCTGCCAGAGAGGCTACAAAAGTACCTGAAGTGCGCTTGATATGCCGTGTCCGATGGCACAGCATCGGTGAGTGCAGAGTATGTTGACCTGTGTCGACATATGGTCTCGCTGACTAGAAGTGAAGATGCTGCGACTGGATCGAAGTTCGACTACTTTGTCTCTATGTGCGGGGCTGCGAGCTCGTTTACGTCTTCATGAGTGTCTCTACTGTTGCTTCTCGCTGTCTGTTGCTTTGTTGGGCCTTGCTTTGTTTCTGTCATGGTTTTTGAAACTTGTGGCTTTGCGTGTTTCAAAGACTGTTCTGTGGCAGGACTGGCGGCTGCTTCCTGAACACTTGGAGAAGTGTCAAGTTTTCAGTTTGTCTCGCCTATCCCACTAATTAATTTTTTGTGACCCCCATCGCTTCATCTTGAAAAAAAWATTCAGTCTGTGTCTGTTCTTTGTTTCAGTCATAGGCTCACTTTGTGCCATCACATGCTTTAGAAGTTTTAGATGTGGGCTTTAGTGTCATATTTTTACTTTTTGTAAAAAATTATTTTCTTTTCATATTTTCAAATCTGGTCTTGAAGAGACAAATACAGTGTGAAAGTCCAGAAATGCAARAACTTAATTTGAAAAGAGACATAAGTGTACCCATTATATAGTGGATAAATGATAAGTTACATTATATTTATTGTTTACTTTGTGTTCTTTAGACTTTCAAGCTTTCTCATTCTGTGCAAGTTTCTACATAAGTATATATCTAGAATGTATACTTATGGGTTTGAATGTACACAAAAAGGGTTTGCTGACAGAAATATGTGGAGTTCTATCACTTCT